GCTCAGGTCATGATCCTGGAGTCCCGGGATCGAGTCCCGCATCGGGCTCCCTGCTCGGCGGGGAGTCTGCTTCTCCCTCTGCCCCTCCTCCCTCTCATGCTCTCTGTCTCTCATTCTCTCTCTCGCAAATAAATAAAATCTTAAAAAAAAATAAAAAATAAAAAATAAAAAAAAACTGTAATGTTACAAGCATGGTTTTTTTCTATTTACTTCTATCTCATCTATTTCTATCCTATTTTCAAAACTCTCTGATCCTTACCTGTGGCTCAAACTGGTCCATTGAGTAGAGATCCAATGCCTCCCAAACCTCTCTGAAATGCAGCCTGCTCAGTAGAGAGAACTGGTTGTCTTGGTTCCAAAATCTTATCCTCTTAACCTACTCATTCTGGATAGAAGTCATCCTTTCTCACGCATTCCCAGTCTTTCTCCTTCCTAAATAACACTCAAATCTATTACTTCCTCTCAGTTTCTAGTCCCACTAGCAGTGGATAGCCTGCACCCTCCCTGTGTTTTATTACATTCAATCTCCAGTGTATGTGTTCTCCACCCCGCCAAGGTAATGGTATTTTTTTTTAATTGAGATGAAATTCACATAACATAAAATCAATCATTTTAAAGTGAACAATTCATTGGCATTGAGTACATTAACAATGTTGTGCAACTCTCACCTCTATCTCGTGCGCAGACATTAATGTCCCAAAATAAAATTCCATACCCATTAAGGAGTTATTCCCTACTCTCCACAGACCCTGACGACTACCAATCTTCTTTCATTTCAATAGATTTACCTATTCTGGATATTTCACGTAAATGAATCATATAGGATGTGACCTTTGTGACTGGCTTCTTTTACTTAGCATAATGTTTTCAGGGTTTATCTACATTGTAGCATGTATCAGTACATCATTCTCTTTTATGCTGAATGATATTCCATTGTATGTATATACCACAGTTTGTTTATCTATTCATAATTGATGCACATTTGGGTTGTTTCTCCCTTTTGGCTCTTGTGAATTGCTCTCAGACGAATGTGCATATAGGTATTTAATTACCTGTTTTAAATTCTTTGGGGCATATACTTACGAGTAGAATTGCTGTGTCATATGGTGATTCTGTTTGATTTTTCAAGGAACTGCTGTACTGTTTTTCATAGTACCCGCACCATTTTATATTCCCACTGGCAATGCCGGAGAATACCAATTTTTCCACATCTTTGTCAACATTTGTAATTATTGTTCTTAAAATTATAGTCACCTTAGGGCATGTGATGAAGTGATATCTCATTGTGGCTTTGATTTAAAGTTCCCAAAGGATTAATAATAATTAATAATAATTAATAATAATATTGAGCATCTTTCTGTATACTCGTTTGTTGGCATTTGTATCTTCTCTGGAGAAATATCTATTCAAGTCTTCTTCCCATTTTAAAATTTTATTATTTGTCTTTTTGTTGTTGAATGTAAGAGTTCTTTGGATATTCTAGATACTAGACATCTTCTTACATTCCATAAGTTATCTTTTCACTTTTTTAATAATATCCTTTGATGCACAAAACTTTTCAATGTTGGGGGCGCCTGGCTGGCTCAGTCGGTAGAGCATGCACGTCTTGATCTGGCGGTTATAAGTTTGAGCCCTACTTTGGATGCAGAGATTACTTAAAAAAATAAAATCTTAAAAAAAAAAACATTTCAATGTTGAAATCTAATTTATCTGGGTTTTTTTTTCTTTCCCTTTTCTTAACATGCTTTTGGTGTCAAATCTAAGAATTGTCAATTTCAAGGTCATGAAGATTTACTCTCCTGTTTTTTTCTAAGAGTTTGATAGTTTTAGCTCTTACATTTAGGTCTTTGATCTGTTTTAATTTTTTGAATATAGTGTGAACTAGGGGTCGATTTTTTTTGCATTATTTTTCAGTTTTTCACCATTCAATGTGATGTTAGCTGTGAGTTTTTTTAAATGCCCTTTATTATGTTGAGGAAGCCCCCTTCTATCCTAGTTTTCAGTATTTTTATCAAGACAGAGTGTTGGATTTTGTCAAAGGCTTTCCTTCATCAACTGAGATGATAATTTTTTTTATCTTTTGTTCTGTTAATGTGGTGTATTACATTGTTTGATTTTCATATGTTGAACTACCATTGCAGTCTGGATAAATCTCATTTGGTCATAACTTGTAATCCTTTTAATATGCCTTTGAATTTGGCTTATTAGAGTTTCTGTTTTTTGTTTGAAGATTTTTGCATCTATATTCAAAGGGGATATTGGCCTAGAGTTTTCTTGTAATATTTTTGTCTGGCTCTGGTATTAAGGTAATGCTGGCCTCACAGAATAAGTTAGGAAGTGTTCCCTCGTCTTTGTTTTTTGGGAGAATTTGAGGGGATTAGTGTTAATTCATCTTTAAATGTTTGGTGGAATTTATCAGTGAAACTGTCTGGTTTCAGACTTTTCTTTGTTGGGAAGTTGTGTGTGTGTGTGTGTGTGTGTGTGAGTGTTTGTTTTTTGGTTTTTTTGGGTTTTTTTTTTTGTTTTTTTTTTTGATACAATCTCTTGTTCCTGGTCTCTGGAGTTTTTCTATTTCTTCTTGAATCAGTTTTGGTTATTTGTGTGCTTCTAGGAACTTGTTCTTTTCATCTTTGTAATCTAATTCGTTGGCATACAGTGCATAGTATTCTCTTAAAATCCTTTTAAATTCTTGGGGGTCAGTATTTACATCCCAGTGTGATTGTCTCAAAGTAAACCTAATCACGTGCTTCTCTGTGATAATGTCTCACAACCCATAGGGTAAAATCCACCTTCTTACTTGACTGAAAAGTTATTCTGGTTTTTGTCAATTCTTATTATTAAAATCTTAATAATCTCTTATCTTTCAGTAGTCTGCATTTTATTTGTACCAACACTGAGTTTCCTAAAGCAGTGATGCTGTTCTGCATCTCTGTCTCTTGTTCCGTGTGGCTTCATGCACTAATCCTCTGCCTGGAAAGTCCTCTCTATGTCTTGTTCACACTGCCTGGCATTCTCACACACACACACACACACACACACACACACACACAGATGACATTTGAGTCGCGTTTGAGCAAAATTGTCAAGAAAAAACTGATATATGTTGATCTCGGTTCTTTATAATTTTTCTCAAATGCCACTTCACTCATCAACACTAGCCCGTTCGGCGCAGTCATTCCATGCCTTGCAGTTCCCCTGGCATGCCATAGCTATTGAGCTTCTAGTATCTTTGCTACTATCCCTATGGTGATGACTTCCAAATCTCTCTTTCTCCTGCCTAGATTTCTCTTTTGAACTCTAGGCAGATATTTTGAAGCTGCCTGTAAGACTTCTCTCCTATATTCCAGACTGAAATCAGTATCTCTCCAGCCTTCTCAGTCACTCAGCATGTTCCCTTTACCTATACATCTCTCTGAGGGTTCCACCATCTCCAAATAACCTAAACCAAAGCTCTGAGCCTCGTGCCAGACATTTTTCCATGACCATCATCTAGTTGAGCTTCTATTGTGGGAAAGACACAGTGACTCAGTTTATATATATTCTCTCTGATCTTCACTACACCCCAGAAATACCCAGGTATTATTTCCACCTCTGTGAAGCAACTGAGGCTCACGGAAATTGAGTGACTTGCCTCTTCTCTACCACTTAAAACTGGCCAAGTCAGGATCCTAGGGTTCCAACCCAAGTAGCTCTCATTCAGTCCCAGTAATTCCTGACAGTCTTTCCTTCTATATATTTCTCAAACTTATTTTCTTCTCTAAATTTCCATTGCCACCTTTACTCCTCTCTTTTTCTCACCCCTGACCTCCATCCCAGTAGCAAATCCAATTGGCTCTACATTTAAAATAAGTTGAGACTATGAACACTTTTAACATCTCCCCAGCTACCATCTTAGTCCCCTGCAGTAATGCGGTCGTTTCTTAATTTATCTGTCTTTGATCTTTGCTCCTCCCAGTCCTAAGCTTGCCACCCAGAGTGATCTTTCTAGAACCTGAGTCAGATTTTATATATTTTAGATATAGATTGTATATGTATTATATTTCACTCATTTGCTGAAACTCTCCAATGACTGTCCATCCCATTTAGAGTGAAAACCAAGGTTTTACCATGGTCTGAAAGTCCATAGGGATCTGCACCCCCATCCTCCTACCCCAACTACTCTCTCTGACTTCAGCACCACCATCCACCTCACTCTGGCCACATCATTTCTTTGCTGTTTTTCAGACACACTAAGTATATTCCAATAAATAGGTTTTTTGGTGTGTGGGGGGGTGCGGTGCCTGCTTCCCTGGCCTGGGACACCATTCTCAAGTATCTTTATGGTCTTCTCCTGTACTTATTTCAATTCTCTGCTTGAATTCTTCTCTTTCTTATTTCCATTACTTTCTTAACCCTCAGCCCGTATTCTTCTCCTTTATGCATCCACCTGAAATATTACATGTTTGTTTGTTTAATTATTTATCATCGATTCTAAGTTCCATGACAACAGAGTTTTTTTTCTTTATTGTTCATTGCTGTGTCCCCAGGCCTAGAACATCCAAAATAAGAAATATTTAGTGAATATTTTTAAAAGCATGAATCGATTAATTAGTAAGTGCTGTCTTAGTTCATATCCAAATCATTTCTGGCTTAGAGTGGAATAATAGTATTGACCATGCTGACTCCAGTTTCATACTCTTGACCTTGGTGACTAAATGATATTTTAGTTTTAGTTTCTATTTAGAATCCTTTAATGAATCCCCACCACTTGCAGAAGATACTTCCAGTGTCTTATTATAATTACCAGGATCTCCAGGGTCTGGCTCCAGCCTTCAACTCTAACTTCTTTATGAAGTTATTTCTCTTATTTATTTATGTCAATTTATTGCTCTAATAATCTATTTCTTCAGCCTTGGTGAACTGTTTTCACCTCCCCACATGAACCTTGCTTGTCACATCCCTGTACATTTGCACGTTCTCTTCCCTCTCCCTGGGATATCATTACCCACCTTACGACATGATAGCCCCCATACATCCAGGAAGACTTGATTGTGCTCTCCTCTGTTGCTTCTCCTAGCGTTATGTTCATGGCATTGAAAATATTTCTCTTTAGGACTGGGGGCTCCACAGGGCAGGACAGAGTGCTCTTTGTCATTCTGTTTCTAACTGAAGTGGCGCAAGGCACATTGTATGTGATTGATAAATATTAACTGAAGATGTTTGTATAGAATTTTAATATTATCTCTCAAGGTACTTCAGTAAATGTGTTTTTTTACTTCATTTTAAAACAAAATCAGTTTACTGCTAGCCTAGAGAAAGAATAAATATTTTCCTATTCTTTGGCAGGTGAATTAATACTAATTTGGAGTAGGTGGAAGGGTTGGCTAAGAAATTTAGGTGGAAATAAAGAAAAGGAAGCATCCCTGTTGCACTATTTGAATTCTTTCTTGCTCTCCCTTAATTTTAAAATGACCATGAATGTCCTTGCATTTTACTGATTTATACAGAACATCAGTTTGAAGTCTCTTAATGACTACACTTAAGTTCATGAAAATATAGCTTTTAACATGTAGGTAGTCACTTTCACAACTGTGACATCAGCTATCCTCTACTGACATTTAATCCTCTACCTGGCCCTCATTCAAAAATCCATTGGGATGTTCTCCTCCCAGCTCCTATGTGGAGCTTCTAGGATTCCTTAACTCAGAGCCATTATCAATGACTTCAGCATCTTTCTCAACTTCCTTTTCATTTCTCCAGCTTGCTGCTGCTGTAATTTTCCCATGGTGACCATGTAAATGAAATTGACTTGTATCCCTCACAACACACTGGTGAGCTGAACTGTCTGAGAACCTCCTTTATTTTTTTCAGAGGTTTTTATTCCTTAAAAATGGTGTCAGCCAGACAAATGGAAGAAGTACAGTCAGCTCACATATCTTTGTTTGAAGTTTGAGCCTTTAATAATAGTCTGTCCTTGGGGTTGTAAAGACTCTAAACCCAGACTGCATAGGTTTAAATCCTGGAAACCACTTCCTAGTTCTGTGACCTTGGACAACCTGCTTGAGACACTGAAGTGAATGTGTCAGTTTCCTTCTGTAAAATGGAGCTCATAGTACTAGTATCTACCTAAAAGGGTGAGGTGAGGATTGCACAAGTTAATGTTTATGAATTGCAAAGAGTGGTTCCTGGCACATAATGAAAGCTGTTAGCCCTTCAACCTAGTTCCTGTGCCAAGCACTGAAATGAGGCAGTGAACAAGACACTATGTCCCCTGTGCTCACAGAACTCACATTCCTGTGGGGTATAGACATTGAACAAATAAACTTGAATTGCATTCTATGATAAAGACTGAGAGCAATTTTAAAAAAGGAGGGGGAGGCATAAAAGAATACTTAAGGAAGAAGTCTCTGAGAAGGTAACTCTAAGTAACCTAAAAGATGAGAAAGAGTCAGCCATGGGGAAAAGAACATTCCAGGCTCAGGGAACAGTATAAATCAAGGCCTGTAGGTGGGAATGAGTATGGGTATTAGGGGAGGTAAGAAGGCAGGTGGAGCTGGAGCATCATGAGAAAGAAGGGATGCAAGTGAAATTGGAAAGCAAATTGATGGGCCTTTTAACCATGGTAAGGAATTTATTTTGAATCTACTTTCAGTGGGAAGCCAATGAGGAATTTGGTATCTATTCATTACATGGGGTTTAGAGAAGGAGCCAGGAAAATAGAAAATAGGGGATACATTATAATTCTATGTTATGATAACAAATTTTGATTACACTTATAAAGACAGTTTGGAAACTTAGAGTTTCTTTTATTTGAAAATAATCTCTATAGTTACCTTCTTTGATTTCTCTGGAATTATTCCACAGCCTTTGGTGTACTTAATTGCTCAAAAGACTTACCTAGCTATCAAATATCTTATCTACCTTTCTTTAAGTCAACAAATATTTATGGAATGACTACTCTTGCCCTAATGTTTCTTAGACCAGTAAGGAGACAGACATAAAAAAATCACCTAATAATTAATTACATTCAGGGTAAGTGTTATAAAGGAAAAGTAAAAGCTACTATGAAAGCAATTAACAGAGGACTTCTGGCAGACAGATCATATAGGCTTCCCCAAGGAGTTAGTAAGAGGAAGCTACATCAAGAGAAGTGGGAAAGTACTGAGGCAGGAAAACCTTAAATCTTCTGTGGTAATATAATATTTTTAATTATTGGACTGTTAACGTCTGTTGGGCCAGATGGCGATGTGGCAGAGCTTATATGAAGTAAACATTGGATGCCTTAGTTAAATGAGTGTATATAATAAGAAATAAAGAATTGGAATTGTGGGTAAAAAACTTCCACTTAGGATGCTTAAAGCAGTATTAACCTTTTACTTCATAAATGGGACTAAATTGAAGGGATCACTGGTGAGACATGTCTTGTGCTATTTATGTCATATGGAGAGATGCCCTCTGGGCCATTAGGCATTTTGTTTAAGAGGTTTAATATAAAATTGTCAATACACTCCATCATGGGAAGAAAGATACTGTTCCCCAGGAGTTGTTTCTCTAGACATGTTTAAATACAGTAGTGGAGGGGGAAGAAGGGTGGCTAGGATGTAAAGGACACACACATTAAATGCAGCTTTTGGGAACTATAATTAATTTTCTTTACCCTTTAGTTGGGATGTTAAATTCCATTTATTTCAAGCAATTTTTGTTCTTATGCCCATCCGTACATACTTGATAATAGGACTATGCATAATGTATATTGTATAAATGATAAATTGGCATATCTTCAGGTTTTTCAGTATAATATGATTGGTATCTTTGCGTCTTTTCTAGGTTTGTGACTTGGCTTTTAGCCTAAAGAAAATGCTGATCCGACACAAGATGACTCACAATCCCAATCGTCCACTGGCAGAATGCCAGTTTTGCCATAAGAAGTTTACAAGGAATGACTACCTCAAAGTGCACATGGACAATATCCACACTGAAGCTGACAGCTAATGGTAGCTGTAAAGGAATTAAACCATTTAGAAGGGCTCCTAATATGAAACCCAGATTTCTCTCACCTGATTAGCATAGCAGAAGTAGCTAAAAGTAATTCACTGGTCTCATAGTACTTATTTGCCTACCTTTAGAGTTTGTAGATGCTTATGCAAAAAAAAAAAAAGAAAAGAAAAGAAAGGAGAAAGAAAGAAAGACAAAAAGAAAGAAAGAAAGTCCTACTTCTACCAAAAAATGGTACAAATGGAAAAGAAACCTTTGTAGCCTTGCAAAATACTGCTTGTGCTCTGTTTCATAAAATGGAAAAAGGAGTCATGGCTTTCCTTCTTGGCCACCTCTCTGTAATGAAGTTTATTAACATACTCTTTATTAGGCCTTTTTATTTTATTGTCATCTTTGTGTGTGTGTCTATGTGTGTGTGCATGCGTGCACATGCTGGTTATTACAACTGACTACTACTACCAGAAAGAAATTAATATACCAAAATATTTCATTGCAGATGAGGATAAGGTTAAGAGTTTTTAAAGTATCAAGCATGATAACAGGATAAAACTTGCTATTTTGTGAAACAGACCAAAAGTTGATCTTACTTACAGCTCCCTACAACAGTTCAGTTTAAAATAAAGAGGTATTTAAGAACTAAAGCATCTATTGAATTATTCTCATTTTAAACAATTCTTAAGAAACATTATATCCTTTAATCATTTAGATGAAGACATTCATGGTCTGCAATACTTTTGTAAGATCTATATAAGACCATACACTTAAATATATATCTAACTGATCCTCCTGAGTTTATTCTAGTTATCTTTAGAAATTAACAATATTCAAATACATATAACTAAAAATTGAAACAAAATAGGTTCTCAGTATTTGCTGACTGACAGAGTGTCAGCACATAGTGACATTACAATAGTAGTTATGATGAACCTAGCCCTTTACCTTCTCATTCCATAAAAGTGCACAGAACATGTTGGTGCAGATATAATAGAGTCCTCAGAGCATTAACATTCTGTTTTGCAAAAGACATTTTCCAGAATCTTGGCAGTAGGTGATTCTGAAACACTTTGAATTACCCTCAATCGTCCTATATAATTAGGAATCCAGAATAGAAAATACAAATCTGGAGGGCGCCTGGGTGGCTCAGATGGTTAAGTGTCTGCCTTCGGCTCAGATCATGATCTCAGGGTCCTGGGATCGAGTCCCGCATCGGGTTCCCTGCTCAGTGCAGAGCCTGCTTCTCCCTCTCCCTCTGCCACTCCCTCTGCTTGTGCTCTTCTGTCTATCTCTCTGTCAAATAAATAAATAAAATCTTAAAAAAAAAAAAAAAAGAAAGGGGCGCCTGGGTGGCTCAGTCGTTCAGCCTCTGCCTTCGGCTCAGGTCATGATCCCAGGGTCCTGGGATCGAGCCCCACATCGGGCTCCCTGCTCCGCGGGAAGCCTGTTTCTCCCTCTCCCCCTGCTTGTGATCCTGCTCTCACTGTGTCTCTCTCTGTCAAATAAATAAATAAAATCTTAAAAAAAAAGAAAAAAGAAAATACAAATCTGGCAATTGTTATGATTGAAATGATCACTGATGCTTAAGGAAAATTGAAGCAAGAAGCTTAATTTCTTCCCTTAAGTTATATTTCAATAACATACTTGAAAGCAACATACAATGAGCAACTTGTTTTGAGAGAAGGTATGATAAAATATAATAGTGATGTCAAAATAGCATAAAGGAGTCCAAAAACCAGAAGAAAATCAAAATGAAGTCCAAATCATGAATTTTTCTACTCAGTGCTCAGTCAAAAAGAGGAAGTATAATATTAAGGAAATTGGTTCTAATGATTTAAGGAGAAAGGTTATCTGAAAACACAATTCTCTGAAATCAGGAATCTTGTTTTAGAATTATATTTTTGCTCAGTTCCAGTTTTAAAAAGAAACATAAAGATTCAATATAGAGATTTAAACTCTGTAAAAATACTAAATTTGAAATTCACCAGAGATAACTTTAAAAAATATAAATCTCAGATTATAATTTAGAAGATATCTAAGTATGGTTGTACGTAGCATTTTTGTATCTGAAATTATAGACTGTATTTTATAAAAATAGATTTTGGTCTTGTTTCTCACTATGTCATTTGTTTCAACAGTATATTTTTAGATCTAAAATGTTTCCAACCTAACGTGACAGTGTGCTTAATATCATTTGAATATAAAAGGACAGCTGTAAAATTGGGTAGTGTGTATTATTTAAGCACGTTCCTTCCTTTGGATGCTACTTCCTCTGTATGGGATGCTTCATATCCCGATTATGGGATGAATGTGAAACTTGAAGAGAAGCCAAATCCCATTTTGTATAATCTCAATGACTCACAATTTACAGATCTGGTGTAATTGGAAATTACCCTTGAAACCATGTTGTCGCCATGTTGCAGAATAAAACTGATGAGGAAGAGGTGCCGGGCCTTATCAGGCTGAAGGTTCATAGTCAAGGAAACTTGAGAAAATGGTGTGGAAAGACCTACTGGTCCACAGTCTTTTCTTTTCAAAGCCCTGAAACCAAAACAAGTCCTTAGAAGACTGTGTGCTGTTACCTCTATCCAAAAGATGATTATTTATAAGCATTTCAGATCTATTAGTATTCACGTCCTGCAACTTTTAAATCATTTAGCAATATCAAAAAGATGAGAATTGATTTTATTTTTAGGTTTGATCAAGAAATTAAGAAGATAAATAGTCTTATTGGCAAATTGGAGTACAGATACCCACTTGGAAGTGTCTTTCTCTGCTTTTCTGCTATAAAAGATTATGGCTCAAGTATTTTCTTGGGAACAGGCCAAATTCTCAGGTACCCATGAAGTCAGGGCTACATAATTTTAAGAGCTATTCAATAATATGGGTGGGTTCAGGTATCTTCTTATAATCATTATCTTCATGTGTTAACATTCAAGATATTTACATATCTTGAATTCCTTCTTGTTTCACAATCACTAGCTTATATTATTTTCCATCTTGTTTTTTTTTTTTCGTTGTTTTTGGCTAGACGGGAGACTTTATTGATTAATCATGATCAACAGTTGCAGTGTAAAAGTATTCATCGGTGATTCATTCTTAGGGTTTTACAGGATAGTTAAAATGCTACTTTTAAGAAACATGTTTCTCATATCATGGGTGTATGTGCGTCTGCAGAGGATCACTTATTCAGTGTTTTAAAATGCAAGTACATTGCTTTGCTCAAAATTCTTCTGACCTATTGCAGCCAACCCATTGGATATGTGTGAATATGGATCATAGGTCTTACCAACCTTAATTTGTGCATGAAAGTCTATGTGCTTTTGTGTCTCCCAAAGCTGGAAAGGAAGAAAGGAAAGAGGTTAGGTGTTGGGAATATTCATTTTTTTCCTTCACAAATCTAAACATTGCTTATGAAAACTTACGGTTGTGAATATACAGAAATGGGTGGGCAGGAGGAAATTGTGCCTCTTTAAAACCATAAGATTTTATCATTAATATTGAGGTGTATTTGCGTGTATATAAATGTAGCATTGTAAATATAGCAAAACTTCAATAGCATTTTTATTTTTTTATAATCTATAATAAATCTGTATAAATCACTGCCACAGTTGGTCTTAGCATTGTATTTTACTATAAATCTGACTAGCACAGTTCTATAGTAAAATCCAAATGAACATTTTAAATTGGTTTTGATGAAAGAAGAAAATATAATTGCTCTTACTCCCAGGCCTCCTGCTTTTATAGTTCACTTCTAAGCATTTCTAAATCTGGAAAATATCTCTACATTTAAGCCGAGTTGGTCTCAGGGCAATAAGAGAAAACAACTTCCTTACATCTCATCTCATTGTTGGTCATACATAAACAACATGTAAAAAGGAACATCACTAAAAACAAAAGAAACTTGATTTATAGAACCATCTCTGAGCAAAAATAGTCTGAATTTCACAAATATAATGTAAGGGTGATAAGAGTTATGGCTAATGTTTTAGGTATTCCTTTTTTCAAAAGCAGTGTTTCATTATCTTGATGTTGCCCCAATCTTGGGAGTCTTACCTGATAACAAAAAAAAAAAAAATCATCATCATCATCATCATCATCATCATCATCATCATCATCATCATATGTCTCCAAGGAGTGGATTTGGAGATGATGCATTCATTTAAATTTGAATTTCCCAGAATCTGCGAGACAGTAGTTCTTTGGAGCTGACTCTCATAGCTTTGACTACCTTGGGCTCAAAACCGTGTTATCACCGCAGGTTGTTTATTTGTTATACGACAAAATAGAAAACTAACTCTGGAGCCCTCAGCATGGGCCATGTCAGAATATTCTAAATTCCCTAGGCTCATGAAATAGTACAGAGTGCAACAACTAGCTATCTTATACTAATGGTGTTGCTGATCCAATGTCCAAGTTTATTTTCTTTCTTTAAAAAAATGCTTAACACAATACTATAAAACAAATGTTTATATTTGTTACAAAACAGTCTCCCTAAATATTTGATGGCATATTTAACTGACTAATCCTGTAAACATTTAGGCAATTAGAATAAGATTTTATTCCTTGGGCCCATGCCACTCTGGCATATTACATAGCAGAAGGAAACTAAGATTTTGAGTGATGTTGATAATTTATGTGCTGAAAATTGAGAAAGAATGTGGGACCACTGAGACTTGATGATCTAAATTAATGTAAAGGAATTCATATGAAATATCACTGTTTCTGACAAGACGCACTATAAACTTACTACTAGGAATTAATTCCACTTAGAAAGCACACACAAAAAAGTCCATTTGCCTTTACAAAATAGTATAAAAATGAAAAGAATCCCAGCTCACAGGGGACACTTGAAACATTCCATTACTTCATTTTTTAAATTTTGTCTTCTTGGAAGAATATCAAGTAATGCTCTTTTCTTTAAAGTTAATTTTGTCTGACATCTTTGCATAATGTTTGACGGGTATACCTTCCCCCCCCTTTTCTTCTACTGAAAACTGTTCTGTGAGTATATGTAAATTTTAGATGTGTTTCTAATAAACAGCCTATGGTAAGATTTCACATTTTTATCCTGTCTGACAATGCTGTGTGCTTTTCAGGCTGTGATGATGAATTTTCCCTGCCTTTCCCACAGTCTCATGCAGCCTCCATTCAGATGTCTAACTGGGCTTGTATTGGAGTCTGTACTCAGAGAGAAATATGCTCCTTACACCCAATATACGAAATTCATCATCACCAACGTGTAAATCTGATAAAAGCCTGACACTGTAGACGTAATCCTAGACCCTCCTTTGTATGGTTCTCGTTGACCCAAGGTAGCTACTGATGCACAGCTTAAAGCAAAAGAGATTCCTTAAAAAGTATTCCAGGGGCTTTGATAGCATAGATGCAAGTATAACAGCTGAAATCTGAACTAATACCCTACCATTATTGGGATTTAGTTGTTGAAACAATGTATCCTCTGTTTGTTCTTTAGTATTTGATAAAGCAACCCATAAAAAAGGGAAGTGCATTGGCTTCCAAGTCTATATATATATATATATTTTTTTTTCCTTTCTAAAGTAAGTATTAGCCAGCATCTGGAAAGCTGAAATTGCCTTTGATGAAAAGAGGGCCTGAAATTAACTTCTATGAAATCAAAG